CCCCTTAGTGCTTGTTTGACTCTTTAAGCATCCACTCGTTTGCATTTCTGTTTACTATATTTGATGTGCTCTATACATGTGCATTGATCAATGTTTATAAAATCAATGTGAGTAAAAGCATAAATTAAATCTGGTCATGATATAAAGTGATTGTCTCTTTAGAAGACTTGAAATTTCCACTATTTTGGTTGGACTTTCAATGGATGGGCAAAAATGATGAGACGATATTAAAAATGTCTTTATTTGTGTTCTGAATATTAATAACAAAAGTCAGGTTTTGATTGACATGAGGGTGAGTAAATGATGAGAAAATAACATAAGGCAAATGCTGTTCCTGTTTGCATGATGTTTCAAAATGCTGAAATAAAGCGTTTTCTTATACGTTTTCTTTCTGCATGTTAACAGGGTCACCCTGCACCGCCACTGGTAGTCACCACTTCGCTCGTTTGCATAAAGCTGAATTCCCAGTGGATAAATTGAATTCAATAACATTATTTCCTCCTTAAATATCCTGTCTCAAAAACATGTCACATTATAGAGGAAAAATGTTTTGCGAATGCCATTTAATGTTGACTCTGAACTATTTCTGAATCACACTCTCTCTCGGCAGGAGGAAGCTACAAGAAGATTGGATACTTCGATATGACCAAAGGCAATCTCTCATGGTATGGGAATGACAGGTGGATAGGTGAGGACACATTTCTCTCTCTCATCTCCCATATATGCTCTTGTTTATCACCGTCTCAAGCACTCTTCTCTGTTTTAAACCTCCTCTCACACAATCACTCACATTATTACTCTTGCTGCTCATCTGCATCTCTCCCAGTGTCACAGCCGCACATTCTAGGCCCCGCCCCCAAAACGAAGAGAACCGCAGACGACAGGCCGCTACGGGCCATTAATCAATCAGTCAGTCAAATTCTGTTTAGCATTCTGTCCGTGAAGGCAGCCGCGCTGCGGGAGCTCTGCATGGCTCAACAAAAAAAGACAAATGAATGCCATTAGAAAACCGCCAGGAGTTACAGTGGGTACGGAAAGTATTCAGACCCCCTTCAATTTTTCACTCTTTGTTATATTGCAGCCATTTGCTAAAATCATTTAGGTTAATTCTTTTTCCTCATTAATGTACACACAGCACCCCATATTGACTGAAAAACACAGAATCGTTGACATTTTTGCAGATTTATTAAAAAAGAAAAACTGAAATATCACATGGTCCTAAGTATTCAGACCCTTTGCTCAGTATTTAGTAGAAGCACCCTTTTGATCTAATACAGCTATGAGTCTTTTTGGGAAAGATGCAACAAGTTTTTCACACCTGGATGCAAATGGCTGCAATATAACAAAGAGTGAAAAATTTAAGGGGGTCTGAATACTTTCCATACCCACTGTAATTCCAATCATAAATTGAGCAAGCGCACTGATAAAAATTTCGTGCAATATACAATGAGTGATGGTTTCATTTAATCTTTTTAATTGTATTTGATGACCAGTTCATGCTCAGTGTTGCTGACTGTGCACTGAGAAGATGCCAACTGACAGCTGAAAACAACACAAATCAGAAACGGGCCCAGGCTATTCCCCAGCTGCCTCCCAGCACGTGCTAACCTTGACTGGACGAGTACGAATTGTCCAATCAACACAGACGGCACGACGTGCCTCAGCTGATTGTCATTGCCTGTTATTTAAACCCTCACGGGCTCTGAACAGAGCTTGCCGTTTTGAAAAACATCCTCGAGCTTTGTAATAGCAGCCTGGGTTTGTTGGTTTATAATATCGGCGGTACAATGCCACATCACCGTGCTCATTATGTGGCCATTTCTATGCCTAGACATTTCCCTAGATGTGCTCTCTGTGGGCTTACGCTGTTTTGAACTTGCTTATTAGCTTATTAAAAACTCACTGAAGCAGCGAGCACCATGGCAACTGTAGCACGTCGGCATTGCGAAATGCGCTAATTGCGTTTTTCACAAGCCCTTCCGGGGGCCTTGTGATGGAACCTGTTTTCATTGATTTACCCAGCTTGCAACTGGGAATAGTGCCCACAGCATTGTCGTATACCCCAGGTGGCTCACACAGTCTGACACCTTTAACTTTTGCATTAGTTGTCAATGATAGATCTCTTTGGAGGTCATCGCTTTAACAGCAACCCTTGACTGTGTCAGACTGTGGGTCGCCGTGAGTCTGCTGGTGAGGTGAAAGGTCGCCGTTTGATTGTGACGAGATGAACAGGAATGCGAGATCATCAAAGTTAAAAGATGTTAGACAGATGACCTTTGAGCCATCTGGAGACGCACACGCAAGTGCCACCCATCATCGCCCAACTTTTCACCTTGCCGCAATGGTCACTGACGCTCCTGGACAGTGTATTCCAGAGAGACCTGCCGTGTAGAGCTAAAAATAATCAGTGCTGAAATAAAGGCCTCTTGAAGGAGAGGGTGACTTTGCTCCAGATTGGATGCCACGTGTTGACCGACCGTCGCTCGTTAGGATATTCTCCCTCTATATCTCTCATTCATACTAACTGCAAAGTGAAGGTTACGTCCCTTCATTTCTCAGCTGAGTGGGAACATTTTTGTTTGAGTCTTTATGCTCAGTTGTTTCTCGCTGTTACCCATCCACTTCACTGGCCTCGCTCGTTCTCTCTCGCTCTCGCCGGTCGCCCCTGACAACCACTGCATCTGCGCCTTGTTCTCTCATCGCTGTGGCAACCATTATAGGTCTTGGTCGTCATGGCAACATACTGTCCTGATTCCACCATCAAGGACAGGGAGAGGTATTAAACAGCATGAGCTCTCTGGCCCGATGGATGCACACACATTTACAAACATTTACACCCATCACACGTTCATAGTTGACCTGATTTGCATTAAAGACACCTTGAAATAAAATTTTTACTGTATTTACTTTGTTAAAGGGATAATAAAATTATTTCAACATTTACTCATCAAGTTGTTCCAAACCCGTATGAGTTTCTTTCTTCTGTTGAACACAAGAAGAACACATATTTTGAAGAATGTTGGTAACCAAACAATTGACGATAGACATTGACGATAGACATTGACTATGACCATAGTAGGGAAAAAAATACTGGCTACCGTCAATTGTTTGTTTATCCATATTCTTCAAAATATCTTCTTTTATGTTCAAGAGAAGCAAGAAACTCATGCAGCTTTGGAACAACTTGAGGATGAGTAAATGATGACAGAATTTTCATTTTTGGGTGAACTATCCCTTTATTACACATTACTTGGTCTTATCAGTGCATGTAAACAAGTTTTCATCGTAATAATAGTGCACCGCCTCTGAAATGACTTCACTTCTTGGCTGACATCACCATCCCCAGCTACGTTTTAAAATCTGATCAATTCCAAATTAGATCCAAATCAAGTTTCACTCAGAAATATTTCACTTTATGGAAGTAAATGGGTTTCCAACCCCATTTCATGTATAATCGACACCCGACCGACTGCTAATATCTATGAATTGTGTTATCCGACTAAATGCGTTCACTCAGTTCCTCAAGGATTGCAGCTCCACACGGATCGCAAGTTAATTTTAACACCATAGCAACACTGCAACGTTAACATTCTGACCTGAAACACCATAGCAACCACTTTCTATTTCCACAAACCACTTAAACTCATGTGTCGTGCCATATCACATCCTGGGTCTGTCTGTTAAGATTGTTCCAGCATCAGCGCAGCTCCACGCTGCTTCCCAGCATCCCAGGATCTGTCTGTTGGCTGTATTCTGCCCCGAGCATTTGCGTTCGGTTGGATCTCCCGCTCTCCTTTAATCAATATCAGCGAGATCCACAAGGGAGATGGCTTCACGTGAACATTTAATTAAGACTGACAGCCGCTGCGCTTATCAGATGCCCTGGCGAGGTCTTCCGGTGGGACCGCATGGGCAATATGAGTCCTGTCATGCTCAAGGAGCTGGGCTTTATAAAAAATAATCAGCTCTACAGATAGATGTAACAAGCCGTGTGGTCCCCAGCCAATTTGTCACTCACAAAAGAATGTGACACTAGTGCACGTCTTGTGTGCTGCCCACCCATTGAAGGAAGCTGACCGCAATGCACCCTGTTGTGCTTTGTTGTTGCCAATTGGCCAGCCGATTACCCATCTGGAGGCAGTGAAACAGTCTGTGATGGTATCGCTTCACAGACACCAGAGGGGGAGAAGCTTTAGTCAAATGGCAGTGAGGTTAAATTCGATAGCTATCGCTCTCTCTCTGCAGACTCTGAAATGCAGCCACTTTATCAAGAGAGAGAGAAAGAGAGGCAGAGAGGGAGGTAAAGTGACTTATTTCTGGCTCCGAAAACAGCAGTTCAGAGCTGCTCTCCTTTTCTTTCTTTTGCTCAGTTGTTTCATTATTCAAAATACGTGATTATTGCACAAATAAGTGAATCAAATTTAAGTAAATAACAAATGCTATATAAGTTTACATTTTTTTTTTTATTATTTATATACTGTTGTTTGTGTTTTTACTATACTATTGTTTGTGTACTTTGTGTTTTTGTAATTTTTATTATTATTATTAATATTTCTGTTTAGCTTTAATTTAATTTTCTATCAATTTTAGTTGCAGTAATTTTAGTACTTCAACTTAAAATTATTTTATTTCGGTTGGTTGCTTAGGCAACATTTCGTTACTTTTTTTTTTTATGTAATATTTGTATTTTATTTTATTTCAGCTTTATTTAAATGAACAAAAATGATTTTAACTTGTTTTCATTTTAGTTAACAATATCAGCACTGGGTTTAGCAGATCAGCAGTTCCTATTCATGATTGTATTAATTTTGAATTAGCTTTTTTATATTTTCAGTTTACATTGTAAATTTAGTTTAGATTTTTGTAGTTTTGTTATGTGATTTAGTCATTTTTAATATTTTTTTATATTTTTTTTTATTTGTTGCAATTTTTACATTAACAAAAATTCTTTTTAACAGTTTTAGTTAAAAACAACACTCTGCTTAACAGATTAGCAATTTATATACATGCAGATATGAAGAGGTATGACAATATTTTAATTTTTCAAGCTGTGATGCTACTAGCTACAATACTAGTCATGTGGAAGATGGAGGTCTGACCTCTAATAATGTTATTCATGAAAGTTTTGCCAAGTTATTTCAATGTAATATAAAATAATATAATACTAAAAAGCCTCATTTCTCTCTCCAGGCTCTGGTCCACCTGCTGACCAGACGGTGGTGATTCAGAAGTTCAGATATCTGTCACAAAAACTCTTCGTCTCGGTGTCTGTTTTCGCTGGCTTGGGCATTTTAATGGGGATCGTTTGCCTCACCTTTAACATCTACAACAGCAACGTCAGGTATGTTTAGCTGTGGATGAAAGTATATGCTCCTGCCTGCAGGCCTGTGTTCATTTTATATTGCATACTCACGTGTGAGTTCAGTGCAGAGGACAGCGTGATACATGCATACAATTAGCTGGTGTTTCCAAGGGTCACATTCACCTATTTATGCATTCTCTTTGCATAGAAACACGTCAGTTTCAAACAGGCTCATGCATGATGAATAGTGATAGCATTTCACACATATTCAAACTCCACCGACACATTCAGACTAATGTTCGGTGTTTCAGTCTTTTTATCTTAGTGACTCTTAGACTTTCAACTAGATTTTCTCAGCAGACAGCTTAAGCTAATACCCTGACCACTTACAAAGTGTCATGCATGTGAGTGAATGTGTGAGTGCATCTATGAATCTGCATGTTTTTGTGTGATAAAAAGGCTCAGGAGTGTAAGTCCTTTTCCACTGTGAGAGATTAACTAAATTAGCTGAATCAGAGTTTATTTATGTTAAGGTACATTCAAAACTCCCAGCCGTACCTGAATAACATGACGGCAGTGGGCTGTATGATGGCTCTGGCTGCTGTTTTTCCTCTGGGAATTGACGGACTGCATGTACGCAACTCTCAGTTTCCTGTGGTCTGTCAGGTAAGCGCTCCGGCATTCTGGGTGACACAGTTTTGTCATTTATAGTTAAATTTATGTTATTTATTGTAGTAGTAATCGAGTTTATAAAATCTCCTGGACAGTCTTCTTCAGAAGGGCTTTAAGGAGGCATATCAGGGAATTTTTTTTTTTTTTTTTTTTAAATAAAGAAAAATTTCCCTGAGGCACACTGATAATGTTAGTCCAGGTTTCTTGCATCAAAAAAATATGAATTATTTAATTTTTCATGACCATTTTTCACCCTCTCAGAATCTTAAGTATTAAACAGACTTGTTTCACTGCCTTGCTTTCAGACATCTATATATATGCCCTCTTCGTTTACACTTACTCATAGGTCACAGGCTTGCCGTCAGGTCCAATTTAGTTTGCACTGGCCCTTCCTTCAAGAACAGCATCTTAGAAAAGCCTGAAGATCAGAACGAGCTGTTTTTGCAGCTTAAATTTAATAAATGCACTTTTATTCTACTATTATCTCTTTTTTTACATTTAATTCACCTTTGATATGACAAAACAGAATACAATGAAATTAGAATTTGAATTTTTGGAATTTTAATATTGGGCATTTAGTGTTTATGTCCCATTTATCTTTTAAAGTTAAACACTGAAATATTGGCTAAATTGTTTTATTATTATTGTTGTTGTTTTTTCTAGTTCCGTTTGTGGCTGCTTGGACTTGGCTTCAGTTTGGCTTATGGAAGTATGTTCACGAAGATCTGGTGGGTTCACACAGTGTTCACAAAAAAAGATGAGAAGAAGGACAAGAGAAAGGTGAGTAGAGAACCAGTGTTATTATAGTTAACTAACACTAAAATATTGTTACTTGTAACTTAAAAAGTTAGTTGAAATATAATGAATGTTAACTGAAATAAGCTATAAAATGAACTTTCATTTATTTCTGCAAGTTGCCAAGGCAACATTTCTCTTTTTCATTTAACGTGATGTAGTATCATAACTAAAACTAAAACTGAAATAAATATTAATAAAAACTATATAGGCATCTTTAAAAAAATTAAGCTTTAACTAAAATGTAAATAAAAATCTAGGACTGTGTGAGGTTAATCGGAGGTGTTTCAAGACAAACTATCTGTTCTTTTAAACCCTCATAGGGATTTTCTCTTGACTTGTGTCAAGGATGTTCAGTACACAGCTGGAATGATCAATATATCATAGTGAAAATGTTGTTTCTTTATAAAGTATATATCTCGTTCCTGTCTCTGTTATCATCTTTAGATCTCCTTCTCACTTCCACTGCCTCTAAGGCTTAGCCACTGTCTCTCCGTCTGATCTCATAGAGATGAATCCCCCGTTGTTCTTGAGCATCCTTAAACTGCACATTTATCATACTGCACAGCCCCATGAGCCAGCTGTCACTCCATCACCACAAGCACACTGCAAAAGATCATTTACAGTCGTTATGTTTGATTTTTTGTAACACTTTAAGATCCCATTTGTTAATGTAGCCTATTAGTTAACACCACCTTACAATGAGTAATATATTTTTGCAGCATTTATTAATCTTGGGTAATGTTAGTAAATACATATACAATTGTTTATTGTTCATTTTAGTCCACAGTGCATTAACTAAAGGTTTATCAGTAAATGTTGAAATGAACAATAACTTAAGATGAATAAAAGCTGTGTAAGTATTTATCATTGTTAGTTCTGTGCTGTATTAAGAAAGTGATGCATTGAAGGTCAGACCTCACATCACCAATCACACAAACGCACAGCCATAATAACTAAAATAAGGATAGAGAAAGAGATAAAGACAGAGGAGAAAGGTATTTTCAGGATAAGTACATAATGCCTGTTATTGAGTATTCATGAACGTCCATCTAGTGGTGAAGAGGAGCTTGTCATGAGTCCCTGTGGAGAGCGCTCTCTCTCTCTCTCTCTCTCTCTCTCTCTCTCTCTCTCTCTCCCTCT